TAGCCAAATTTATCTTCTGGGAAGCATGTACTCCTCTGTTCTTTATGAACGCCTACTCATAATTGCTATTGTTGGCACATAGATTCTGTGCTTGATTGTTTTGGTCAGCATGCTGGGTAGGATACCTCATTTCATCTGAAGTATCTCCTACAGTGCTTGAGCAATAGAGCAGCATAGGCAGTTGAGAGGGTTAATTTTTGAATTGTAGCATTTATAGCAGTTCCAGTTCATTTGAATTAACTAACTCAAAGATGACCCTATATTAATTCTGCACTAATTGGAGCTTTCAATAAACATTTTATTGGTTTATTTGTATGCAAATTAATTTTGCTTTTTATTTTTGTTTGGTTTTTGGCTAAAACTAGTGATGCTTTCAAAGATCAGCTTTTAAAAATCTGTGATCTTCATTGGAAAAACGTTTTTATTTCTTTAAAGGGTATAGATGATAATGTACAACCTTTCAATCTTTTCAAAGTTATATTCTGTTTTATCTAAATTTGTAAATATTTATCTATCTATCTATCTATCTATCTATCTATCTATCTATTTATTTATTTATTTATTTATTTATTTATTTATTTATTTATTTATTTATTCGGTTTATATGCCACCCTATCTCACAATGGACTCAGGGTGGCTCACAACAATAAAACACAAGCCACAATAAAAATAAAGACTAAAATCTAAAAAATTTAAAATTAACCCATTAAAACCCTTAAAACCCCTTAAAACCCCGTCATCAGACCAGGTCAAGGGATTTGAAAAGCCAAGTTTTTAATTCCCGGCAGAAGGTGCGAAGGTCAGGCGCTAGTCAGAGCTCCAAGGGCAGTTGATTACAGAGGGTGGGCGCCCCAACCGAGAAAGCTCTACTCCTGGGGGCCGCCAGCCACCACTGTCTAGCCGACGGCACCCTGAGTAGGCCCTCTCTATGGGCGCGAACCAGGCGATGGGATGTTGTTGCTGGCTGTAGGTGGTCCGCCAAATATCCTGGTCCTAAGCCATGTAGGGCTTTATAGGTCAACACCAGCACCTTGAATCTCACCCGGAGGGCAACCGGTAGCCAATGCAAAACGCGCAGGAGGGGTATAACATGGGAGTATCGGGATTCTCCCATCACAACCCGCGCTGCCGCATTTTGCACCAGCTGAAGCCTCCGAGTGGTCCTCAAGGGCAGCCCCATGTAGAGAGCGTTGCAGTAGTCAATCCGTGAGGTGACCAGCGCATGAGTAACTGTGCGTAGGGCATCTCGGTCCAAGTAGGGACGCAACTGGCGCACCAGACGTACCTGGGCGAATGCCCCCCTGATCACGGTTGTTATCTGGTCTTCTAAGCTCAACCGTGAATCCAGAAGGACGCCCAAGTTGCGCACCCTGTCTACAGGGGACAAAACTTCACTCCCTATAGTCAGCGATGGCACCTCTCCCCTGAACCGAGATGCCGGTACCCACAGCCACTCGGTCTTTTTTTACAGCATGCATACAACTTTTACAGAATGTAAATGTGCTTGTTAATGTACATATAAGTATTATTTAACATTTTGTGGGGAAAAATCTTTCTTGCCCCTTGTTTTATTTTTTTAAATTAAAGTTATGATTGGGTGCAACTTGCTTTTCATTTTTCTTAGACATGAAGCATATTGTTGAACTTTTGTTAAAAAGGGTGGAACCAGAGGTGTGTTTAACAATTACAAAAGAAATACCTTTCTTGCATTTATTAAGTAACTGCAGATTAAAGGTAAATCTGTATATAGGTGATGTTACCATAGTAAATGTGTTTGATTAACAAACTTGAATTCTTATATTGTTGCTTGCAGTAGTTGTATTAAAATACACGGTACTAAATTGTTTCTGATAGTATTGCAGAAGGAAGCCACTATGTTTAAGCAATGATGCAATATGAGTGGTTTATTGCACATTCTGCAGTAATAAAAGAGCTTTGGAAGAAAATATGTTATCTCAAAACTGAAAGCTTGTTAAAACTAAAAGCTTGTTGCGAGGTAGGCGAAGAGAGAAACTTGGTTAGAGAAAGGAAAACAAAAGTTACCATAGTTTTCTTGATAGTGTTAGGTTCTGGATGGTTTTAGATGTATTTCAGATGATCTGAAAATAAAAACAGTGGAAGAATGATGTCTGTCTGTGGTCTACAGAGAATTAATATTCAGGTGACTTTAACCAAACAACATATGGGAGAGAGACCTAATTCCTGTTACAGCATTCATGCATCTTGCAGATAATAAATAGTTGAAACCATCTATGTAAAAACAGCAATAACAGCAAGGAAGATTAAAAAATAACCCTAAACTATAAAATAATGTATCATTTATTTGTAAATGTTACTGATACAATTCTATTCAAACTTGCCTGAAGTAATTTCCTTGCTAAAGAATAGTTCTGGCTAACCCCTAATCATTTTGATTGTTCTTTTCTAGTTTCTGTAATAATATATATACAAATCATTCCATGTACATTTACATTAAAATTTTACTTTTGTCAATTTTTGCTTCTATTTTCTTTCAAATAATTTCCAGCATAGAATTTCCCTTTTTTATAACCACTGCACACTAGACTGACATTTTCACTGATATGCTTTCATTAGGTCGCTCAAGATTGCTTTCCTGACCAGTGATTCCAACTCTGCTAAAGAATACATGAGCTTGCTCTTCAAGCCAAAGCTTACCCTGGATTGCCTTTGCTATTTTAAGGCCTATTCACCCCTTTCATTTTGGATCTCTCCACAGCCCCTTTTTTGATCTGATCAACTGGAGCAATTTGAAATCCTCAGCAAACCTGCCACCTCGTTGCTCATCTCTTATTCAGAGGGTGTTTATAAATGAGCTTAAAAAGCTGATCCATGTTATACCCATTTTATACAACTCTCCTTTGTGAAAACTATTCCTAATCTCTGCTTCCTGTTTTTTGATGATCACAAATCCATGAGATGACTTTGTCCTCTTATGACATTGTTTCTATATTTTCCCTGAAAATTTGAATAAGGAGCTTTGTTGGAGACATTCAGCTGTTAGCACATATCAAATCATTCTTGTTTTCATGCTTGTTTACATACATTCTGTACATACAATTTTCTATTTTTCTTCCCTCCATTTTACTCAGATTGGATATGAAACCAACTGGCTTATAATTTGCTGAATCTACCCCCCTCTTTTTAAAATTTAGAATTATATACTGATTATATAATAAGATATTTGGCTAAGGACCATACTTTTAATAATTATTTTCTGCCTCCAATGCTGTAAGAGCCATGGTGAATGATAACCATGATTCATTGAGTGGAACAGTTGTTTTACTCAGGTTTATCCCCACCTATTCTGGCTATAAAATTAATGCTGCTGCCCAGTTCTAATGGTATCCTTTTCAGCAGATCTAGGACTTCCAAAGATGTTTGGGGGAAAACCATGCTACATGCTAAGTTTGGGGCTGAGTCTTAGTATTGGGAGGAAGTGAAGGAGCCTACAGGAAGTGCTTTGGGCTTTAATAAATTGGCATGCAATGTATGCTTTGAATAATGAAAAAAACCTGCTCTACTATTTCCTATGTTTCCTAACATAGGAACAGCTTATTTAAATAAGAAGCATTTCAAAAGAACCCATTTCTTAGAGAAACTTCAAAGGATTTTGCTTTTCCTCATCTACTTCCTTCTTGAAATTCTGAGAATTTGGGAAACTCAGAATAAGAAGGGAAGTAGTTTTCTTTTTTTTTTTTTTTTTTGGTACAAGTTGTGGAATTCTTATCACACAAACATTGGCCTTTGCAGAAGGACAAATTTCCTCCTTCTCTTTTGTCTTCTGTTGCTAAAATAAAAGCCGAACAGTTGCTGTTTATTTTTATTGCTCCAGATGTAGCAATATTGAGCTCATAATCCACAAATTGAAAGTTTAGTCTTATCCTTCCCTATATTACTATTTATGCCTATTTTAAAGGCTATTGAAAGAAGTACTAAATTATTAATTAAACACACATATGCTTCCATATTAAGCATCTTTTTGTTCAGCTTGCTTGAGGCTCAAAAGGCTAGGCAGATAATTGAATCACCATATTAATAGTGCCATTGCTCTCTGAAAGCAAGGAAACATTAGAATGTGAATATTATGAATTATGCAGTATAATAGAATGTAATATATACATGACAGATAATATTCCCATTTGTTTTTTCCACTCAGTCTTTCAAAATCCTTTTGATTGATTTATATGTTTGCACTTTTAAAAGTGGAAGATCAGGTGTTGTTTACCCTAAACCAGGGACTATCTATTTGAAGACAAGAAACTAAAAATTGAGAAAGGAATACATTACATTGGTGGTGAAATACTCAGATTTCAGGCTGGCAACTGGTTGGAAAAAGAACCACTTTATCTATGTAATGGAAAGTAAAATATTACTGCTCATTGAGGTATTCATGAAAATAAATACATAACAAATTGTTTCATATTTATAATGAAGAAGTGAAATGTTTCAGTCTCTTTCATTTCAGTTTTTTATTTTGTAGAATGGGCTTTCACCATGAACTCTTACTTAGCTAAAGTCAAGTGACCTGAGTTCTAAGTAGAAACTCATAGGTTTGTACTCCTAAATTCAGAAACTGTGGCAGGAAGTAATTGACTACCGTATTTCCCTGAAAATAAGAGCGGGTCTTATATTAATTTTTGTTCCAAAAGGCTTATTTTCTGGTTAGGACTTATTTTGCGAAAATACGGTACTAAATGCTTCCATCTGGCTGACAATCTTAACTGGGGCTTATTTTGGGGGTAAGGCTTATATTATGAGCATCCTGAAAAATCATGCTAGGACTTATTTTCCAATTGGGTCTTATTTTTGGGGAAACGGTATTTTCTTATCCCTTAAAATAAAGGTGGTCCATAGTCCCAACAGGTTTGGAGGGTGTTACGTTAGGGGAGTTCCTACCATGTAACAGAACTATTTGCAGAAGTAGCTTAGCTTTGCCTGTCCAATGATACTGATTCAGATATTTTTTCTTATTTTTACAGGTTCAGTCAAGAAGATGCCTTGCCAGAAGGTTCTCCATTTTGGGCAGCAGTTGTTTCGTCGGAAAGTGGTAGACTGTACAAGCAATGACAGCCGGCTCTCGCGGTGCCTCAACACATTTGACTTGGTTGCGCTTGGAGTAGGCAGCACCCTTGGGGCAGGGGTTTATGTTCTGGCTGGAGCAGTGGCACAAGAAAATGCAGGACCTGCCATTGTCATTTCCTTTCTGATTGCAGCTCTGGCTTCTGTGCTGGCTGGACTTTGCTATGGAGAATTTGGTGCTAGAGTTCCAAAGACTGGATCAGCATATCTCTATAGTTATGTGACTGTCGGTGAGCTGTTGGCATTCATTACTGGTTGGAACCTGATTCTTTCTTATGTCATTGGTGGGTATTCCTTTGTATCATTGGTTAATTAAGAACAGATTTAGATCTGTGAAATATTGTGTTGTGCTCTGTCATAATAATAGCTTCCTTTTAAAACTTGAGAATAGCTTAATATGATAATCCCAAAAGCATATTATTTGAGTAGAGAATACTGGCTAACAAGAGCAGTACTTTGAAAGGAATGGTTTTTTAAAAAGTTTCAGCCTCTGAAGGTAAGAACAGACTGGTGTAACTAAAAGAAATGGAGGCAAAATGTGTGAGCCTTCTCAAGGGGTGAGTTGTGGAGATTAAAAGTATATGTTCATTATTTCACTGATCTTATTTTGGGCATTATTTTAGAAGTACCTAAACATGCATTGATGGGGTGAGCTCCCATTACTTGCCTCAGCTCCTGCCCACCTAGCAGTTCAAAAGCATGCAAATGCATATAGATTAATAAGTACCACTTTGGTGGGAAGATAACAGTGTTCCGGATGCCTGTGGGTATAGCCATGTTGGCCACATGACTACGGAAATTGTCTTTGGACAATGCTGGCTCCTCGGCCAAGAAATGGAGAGGACCACTCTGCCCTAAATCGGACATGTCTGACAGGGAAACCTTTGCCTTTTTTTCTAACACTCAAAAAAATGGAGCTGAAAATAATTGATTTCTGGGATAGTGCATGAGAGGAACTGTTAACCAGAAGAAAAATTAGGTGTCAAGACTATTTCTTATACTGAAACAATGAGGAGATTCAGACCCCGCCTTTTCAAAAGACACAAACTTCACTTCTGCATCAAAAAAGAGGAAGCAAATGAACAGACATTTTGTTACCTTGGAGTGTCTATATATAAGTATCTAATTTGAAAGTGGAATTTTTGCTGGAATTTTTGTGTAATGACCTTCACTTTCCTTCTAGTAAATATTAGCAATCAGAGCTCTTAGGGACTTCTTCCTTTGAATAAGTATTTTGATTGTATGATAAACATGAAAAAGAGAAAACCTGTTGTTTAAATCTGTCCCGATGCGTATGATAGAATGCTATGCATTAGGATTTAATCTGATTGCGTAAATCTGACAAATGCTGATGAACATTAAGAATCCCTTTTGGCCACAAACAAATGTTTGAAGGGAAAATTACAACTAGACTGGCGGTCCCCAACTTTTGCGGCTTGGCAGCCTGGCTGTGTGTGTGGGGGGGGGAGGAGTGGGAAATTGGCTGTGTGAGTGGCGGGCCGGTGCGCACATGTGCAGCTTGACTTGAGCGAAAGCAAAACTGAGCCTTCTTATAAGATTGACTATAGGAGAACATTCAAATTTATTTTGTGTTTTTCTCTTTTTTGTCAATTGCAGAAGTAGTGTATCAAAAAAGAAAAGAAACACGATTTAGGTATAGGTTCGGAAATTGGACCATGTGCTATATGTAGTTCTATACGCTTCTCTTTTTAACACACGATTAAATGCAGAATCTCAGATTATGTGTAATAACTTGTCATGTTAGCAAGAGATACTGTATCTAGCAGGTTGGGAACAACAAATACATTTAATAAATAAAAACAAACAACTAAAAGCATCATGTGGCTTCTAGAAACTTCAGTTTCTGATAACTCTGGTTTCTTTATGTGTATGAAATGGCAAACTCCAATTAATTAAATTACAGATGGAAACATAATGCCTATCTGGCCCCAAGAGGGCTTTTAGTTTTCTAATTACTGAAGTTCCATGAGACTATCGGCAGTCTTATGTGAACTCTTATAAGATCTATAAACTTTTTTTTTTTTTTTTCCAGATCTGTGCCTGAGCCTCTGATTAAAATTTGGGACAAAGATAAGTTTTGTAGGCTCTGAATTGGAAGATGATTTAACCATGACTTGAACAAAAGTGATATAGTACATATTCAAGCAAAAGGCACATACAATTCTTGAATAATGAGACAGGAGGTTATTGTTTCAGCCAGATGAAAGAGTTACATCATAGTATTTTAAGTGTAAGAATTGGTGAAGGGATAATAAAATTAATTAAAATGTAGAATTAATTAAAATAATAGGGGATTAAGAGCTCTTACATGTAAGAAGCATGAAAGAAAAATATTCAGAAACATTTAATTGAAAGTTGGCAAATCGTTTTTTTAAAATAATAATTAGTGTTTTTCTTAGTTTATAACTTTAAAAAAATGAAACATATTAATAATACTTTAATCATTTTAGCAAGTAACTCTGGATGAAAACTGCTTAAAACAATTTTTATTGGCTGTCAGTGAAATAATAGCTGGACAATATTTATCTTTGGTGGAATTCACATTTTGTAGAATAATTTTTTAACAGGCAGTTCCTGTAGCAAGTATTTAATATTTTATTTTTTGTAGAAGGGTAAAGAAATAGTGGTTCATGTTTTTCTGTGATAAAAGAAAATACTTGGGAGAAGCACAGCATGAATTTGTTTAAAGATGGAATTTGTTCCAAAATAAGTAGGAGTGGTTGAATAGGAAGGGTTTGGAAGGGAATGTAGGTTGAACTTCAAAAACTCTGTATTTATTTACAACTACTTGGTGTTTGCATAAAGAATTTCCTTGCTTTGTATGCATTTATAGAATTAGCATCCCCTGATCTTGTTGATCAGAATATGGCCTCCGTGAATCTTTTTATATTTGCTTTCCAGAAAAAAAATTCACTCTGTTAGGCAGCTGTTCCAGGTACAAAATCAATTATGGAGACTTCCTCTTGAGGTCCAATGCCTTCAAAGGGTATCAGCTAGAGAAGATGATTTTTACACTGTATAAGTACACAAAGAGTCCCTCGTCAGTCTTGTACCCTTGAGATGTAGACTAAACCTTAGCTCCAATTGTCACCAGTTAACATTGTCTCTCTAGACTTCTAAATTACCCCCCTTGTCCTTTATTCAAAGTGCAATTGAACTTGCTGGACCTCATTGTTTTCTTCCTTAAATCAGGAAATAATTTATTTTCATTTTGACTAAAATACTGAGTTTTACCCATCACACAATAAATGAGTGGGATATGAATGATTTTGTAAGGATTTGACTAAAGTTTGAGATTGAGTTCAGTCACCTCAGGGTGAGATGGGAGCCAAAAAAAATTATTAAATAATAATAATTAACAATATGTCGAAGATCAAGGTAATTCAATATGACAGAGGAAACAGAACAAACAAATTACATGTTACACATAAATAGCGAAAACTAGAGGTAGTAGATGCATTTGTATTGGTAGATATTTAGTAAAAATGGAAAAATTAAAAAGAAATTACCATATTTTTTGCTCCATAAGATTCCCCCCCCAAAAAGTGGATGGAAATGTCTGTGCATCTTATGGAGTGAATATTGCGTCACAGGCCAGGCCGCGGCAGCAGGGTCTTTTACAGTGCTGAACCCTGCCTCTTCTGTCTTTGTCAATTGCCCGCCTCTTCTGTCTCTTTTCTGCAGTGCAGGAGTCAATAGGCAGAGCTGGCACATGAGAGGACATCTATCTGTGGTCTCTCAGGCTCCGCCTGATATTTTTTTTCTTGTTTTCGTCCTCTAAACCTAGGCGCGTCTTATGGTCAGGTGTGTCTTATGGAACAAAAAATATGGTAGATACCCAGATGCTTATAAGAAAGAAATGGGTGGTATAGGGAATATAGAATTGATCACCTTGGTTTGGAAAGAGCATTATGATGGGCCAAGTTTTGTCCTCTGAGGTGGATAAATGGATTTTGGTGATACCTCTGTGATTTAAATGTTCAGTTGCAAAAATTTGCCGAACCATTGGCCTCTAAAATACCCAACAGGGAACAACCCCCTCGTGGTCACTTCTGAACAATTACACAATGAGAATTTGTGTGAATAACTCCTGTTCTTACGACACAGGCTAGGAACCTGGGGAATAGTAGGAAACAACCAGCAAACATTTTAGGGGAAGATAGTCAAATTGTCTTCCATTCTTGTTCATCCTGATTTTAAAATCTCTAGAAGATTAAGTGAACTTATTAACAAAACTCTTCAATAGCAGTTGTGCAATTCTGCTTGGTGCTTGTTATTAAGGGCATGTCAGAAGCCAAAGCATGTCTTGTTGATTGGGCTGTAGAACAAAAACAGAGCACCTTCAAAATAAAAAAGTTTAAAAATGAATTGTGGCAAAAATTATATAAGTCTATTTGGAATATCTACCCCTTTGTGATGAGATTTATCAAGGCATTTGAGATTCCAATTTCAAACTGGTCACTTCTTCTATATGTATTTTTACATATTTTATAAATTCCTTAGCAATTTTTTTGTTTTGCATAATCTTGTTCACTCCAGATGAAGTAGTGCCATGTATATGTTAATGGATAAATTGTTATAAAGAGTTAGCTTTCATTTTTATTCCCATGCAGGAACATCAAGTGTAGCCAGAGCTTGGAGTGCAACATTTGATGAGCTTATAGGCGAGCATATTGAGAAATTCTTTGGTCGCTACATGTCTATGAATGCTCCTGGTATACTAGCAAAATACCCAGATATCTTTTCTGTTTTCATTATCCTAATCTTAACAGGTGAGAGAAATAAATAAATATTGTTTGGGATGAGCATTTTGTGGTGCTTTTGAAATCTTATTTTGCAGAGAAAATGAACGGACTTTATTTATTTTGCCATTTTTTAAAAGCATTATTATTTGCTGGTTCAAGTTGTCCTTTGAGTGGTTGCAGAGACAGGATTACTTTTTGCTACCACTTGTTTAAAATTATGTGTGTATGTAGGTACAGGCTGGAAATCATTGGAACATTCTAGCTGTGCTTTTTTCTTGTAATAAAAACTGTGATTAAAGATTACCTTTAATGGGCTTTATAATGGGCTTTGAAACTTCCCATTTTTTTCACTTGTGACCTAAGAAGCAAATGTATATGTTATTCACAATGTTAAAGGGAATTAGATTTAAAATTCAGATTTACTTTTGATGTTTACTTCAAAGGCTCCTATGTAAATGCTCAATACACATTTTCTGATTATATGCTTCTCAGATGTCGGGCAAGATACTCTCCAGTTGCTTGGCAACTCTGGCCATATAGCATAAGGCTCTGTTGAGAAAGTTGTGCAGTCTTATTTCTGCAGTTGCCAAATCTTCTTTCAGATCTGAAAGGTTTTTCCTAATTCTTTCTCCCCATATCTGTCACATTCCTTTGTAAAGCAACTTGAAAGCTTGTTGAGTCTCATTCCTGTCTGAGACATCACTCAATAGCTAGCAATGGGAGATTTCCATGACTGACCAGAACATGTCTAAGCACCTTCTTAAAAAATACGTTTGCTTCTTAAAAATATCCCTGAATACAATTTCATAGACTGATAGTTTGGACCAGGACCATGTATTGGAGGTGCACTTTATAAATACTAAACCAAGTGACTGAAATAATTGGAAACTGGCAATTTTTAAGTCATTACAAAGTTCGTCCGTGGCTAGATTCACAACACAGCCAAACAATAGCTTTGTTGTTATGAAAATATTTTGGATATGCATAATCTAAAACATAAAATTAGTAGGAAAGGGGCCATATTTGTGGCACTTACTGTGTATTACTGTGTGGAATCTGAATGAAAGTTTTGGATAATTTCCTTTCCTTGCCTATGTTTCAAAAAAAAATTATGTAAGAAGCTAGCAGCTGAGAAATATGTTGGTAAAAGTTTTTCCAAGAATAAAGAGGGAAATGTCAAAGCAATTCTTTCCAAGCATACATACATACATACATACATACATACATACATACATACATAGGCAATTCTTTCCGTGTGTGTGTGTATATATATATATAATATATATATATATATTCTTGTCAGTGTTGATTAAACAGTTATAATACAATTATCCACGGTAATTTTTTTAAAGGACTTCTGACTTTTGGCGTGAAAGAATCTGCAATGGTTAACAAAGTGTTCACTTGTATCAACGTCCTCGTCTTGGGCTTTGTGATGGTGTCAGGTTTCGTGAAAGGCTCAATAAAAAACTGGCAGATCCCAGAAAATCTCTCACTTCCGGAGAAGTATGTTGGTTCTTATTTTTTATATACAGATATCTGAAATAATATACGCATTCATGGCTTTTGTTTAGCGCACACTGACTGTGTATCAGGTATGAAGATAAGAGAAGTGGGCAGTTTGTAACACATCAGATGGTTGATGGAGACTGAAATTCAATACTATACAGATTATTCAATTAACAAAAATCAGTCTCATGGCTGGTGCCAGGCTGCCGATGATTTGTTCATATGCGGCTCTTTGAATCATAAGTGGTTCAAAGTTCAGATAGTTTCAATAAGCTTTCGCTATATTTTGTTGCTATAGATAGAAATTAATTGTATACCTGAAGACATCATTTTATTTACACGAGTAATGCTTCTGTTGCAAATAAGATAAGTAATAGCAGCTGGTTCAGAGTGGACAGCCTTACCCAACTTACTGTGTAGCCAGATGTTTGGGGTTATAACTTTCACCATTCCATCTAAAATTAATACTGCTGTGGATGCAGCCCCGTTTGTGAATTAGTAAAATTGTGGTTATTCACAGACTTCATGTATATGTTCAAATTACACTTAAAATCAAAGACTACAGTGTGGGGCTGCCCATTTTTTTCACTTCATGTTATGTAGATCTTGCAGAGTTTGTGACCAGCAGACGGAAAGTTATGCTCTGTTCATCTTGCAAAAACTTCCCTCATAGAAAGAAGTTTCTGTACTAAGAATAAAATATTTGAAATGTCGCTGCTGCTTTGCAACATTGAGTTCCTCCCTTATTACCTCCTAAGCAACACAGTGAGAGGTTTTTCACCACACAGAGGGCCTTTTGTTAGTCCTGGTTTAATATACTGAAGTTTGACAGCCAGGAAGGCTGCCTCCTTTTGTGGTTGATATAAGAGAAAAGCTATAATTCTCTGTGCCATGGGTACATTGCCTCTTTCCCTGGACATTTTAGATACTCAGTCCTTAGGCTGTTGCCAATATTTAGCAAGTAAATTATAATTGGCAGATTTAAGACCTGTTAAAGAAAAAAAAGGCAATGGGAAGAATCAGGTTAGGAGAAAAAAGTACACATAACTTGAGAAATGTATTCTAATTATGCCTACTTTCTTCTTTGACCATACCATTTTCCCCTTTGCCTTGTCCTCTTGTTCCTAGGAATTGGAATATGTTAGTTGACTCCCAAAAGGGGAGAATTTCTAGCAGGTAGCAAGTATTTTTGCCCTTTTAATCAACCTAAATTTGAAAGTGCTTCAAAAACTTGTTGTTTTTGCAGGATAGAATAATTTGCCTAATAATGGACCTAAGACACTTTATATAATACAAGACATTTTATATAATAAAACCTTGACTCGACTTGGAAACAATAAAAATAAATTTAAAAAGAGAAGTAATAAAACTTTAGAACCAAATGGACCAGCAAGTTTGTACTGTTCTTTGGGCAGAGCCGTAGAAGAATTGCCTGGCTAAACTTCTTAGTACACTTTATACAGATTAAAAGCACAAGCTAAGACAGTTAAGATTTTAGTGAACCTCTGTATGAATTTTAAATTGAACTAAATAACTCTGCATCTAAACAGAGACCTGTACCTCTGAAAATGCAGTTAGTAACTACAGGATTAGAATATTCTTTGATTTACAAAGCTGAACCTCCCCTCCCGTCCCCTCCCCTGTGTACCCAGAAGCTAATGACAAAGGGCTTATTAATTCAAATGATTAATTTTTAAAAATGATCATTCAACTTGTTCCAAAATCTGAAAATAGCTTTAAAAATGACAAAAATGACTCATGCTGCCCGTCCTGTTCATATTTACAGTGCACACAAATAGGTCCATTTGAATTGGATGAGTGTTTTTATATATTCTTGGATTATTACAGATTGATATTAATATTCTCAAAACTGGAGGTCCATTTATTCGTGCAGTTGTTTAATGGTGCTGCAAATTAGTCCGGGGAGGCTATTCCATTTAAGTTAATAATATAGTAGCCATTTAGTATTGGTAAGTCTTGATGAGTCAGCTGTATTCTATGTCTTGGTAAAGTGAATTTGCCCTGTTGAATTTTCATAGTTGCAAGATACTCTTGGAATTGGGTAACTAGACTCACTTGTAATTTCTTGCTGCTTCTTCTAGTTCCACACAGAATCTGCCGCATGGTGTTGGTGGGTTTATGCCATATGGTTTTTCTGGAGTTCTTTCAGGGGCAGCTACATGCTTTTATGCATTTGTGGGATTCGACTGTATTGCTACCACAGGTAAGGTAACAACAACAACAACAAAAAAACTACTTTTTAAAAATAATAATTTCTATTCTTAGCTGGGCCTACATTGTGTGCCACTCATTAGGAGATTCTGAGCCATCTTTTCCATTCTGCTGCTGAAAATAGTTCCTGCAGCTCTGCATGAATGGTGCTTCTTCTTTTCAGCCTGAAATATATTATATTTACATACAGCTCAGAATCTAATTAGATTCTTGGAGAAGGGATTCTGGTTTTTAAGACATAAACAGTAGACTGTACTTCCGGAACCTGAACATGCATCAGAATATTAATTTCAACTGTATTTGATTGAGAGATTAATTATACCATGCAATGTGACGCTATACATTTCTACTCAGAAATAAATCAATATTGCAAAATGGAAACAGTGAATAACTTCTTTATGCCAGTTTTGGATGTAATTTTGGATATCACTGCTTCTTACTCTTAATTTTCATTATCTTATAATTAAGCTTGAAAATGAAGTTATAGTAATATATTCTTAGTATTCGGACAACAGCTATAGAAGTTCTATATTGCATTGCATAATTTTAAAGTACAAATTAAGGTGAGTCAAACTATAACTTGATTCTCAAACGTAAGTTATTTATCTAGGCAAATATTGCATGATATACAAATGTAATGAAATGTTATATGTTTCATAAATAGCTGTAGGTTTTCCTTATTGGAAACAATCAGGTAATTCAGGGAAATAATTCCTAATAATTTAAAAAGGATTTGTAAAATGCATGCTCTTACAGTACATTTAATATGCTACTGACAACTTTTAATTTGGTGAAAGAGTTCATTTTTGCTTTCACTAGAGAAAACATGTCAAATGCAGTTTCTTCACTGAAAAGAAATAATTAAATCTGCCTTTTGTAATCTTTGGGTTATATCTCCTTTTTTAGGTGAAGAAGTAAAAAATCCCCAGAAAGCTATTCCAATAGGCATAGTGGCCTCACTTCTGATCTGCTTTGTTGCATATTTTGGGGTATCGGCTGCTCTTACTCTCATGATGCCTTACTATCTGCTCGATAAAAATAGCCCACTGCCAGTTGCTTTTAAGTATGTGGGATGGGAAGGAGCAAACTATGCAGTTGCTGTTGGGTCCCTATGTGCTCTTTCTACAAGGTAAGGGCTACAACTGTTTTTTTGCATACGTGCGGTAAGTGTGTACTCTCAGACGAGTGTATTCATCTTTAAATAAAAATGTTCATGGCTTATTTAGGAGTTGGCTGTTTTTAACTTGACAGATTTTTAAGAGCCGTGGTGGCGCAGTGGTTAATATGCAGTAGTGCAAGCTAACTCACTGCTCACTCTAGGAGTTTGATTCTGAGCGGTTCAAGGTTGACTCAGCCTTCCATCCTTCCAAGGTCGGTAAAATGAGGACTCAGATTGTTGGGGGCAATATGCTGACTCTGTAAACTGCTTAGAGAGGGCTGTAAAGCATTGTGAAGCAGTATATAAGTCTAAGTGCTATTGCTAAGCTCCACAATTCAGGTTTGATATATTTGGAAAGGTGGGTCACTTAGACGGTAACAGTTTATAATTTTTTCCCCATATTAGTTAAAGGTCGGTGATAAAGCTTGTGGAAGAGGTCATTGACTCTACCTCTACTAAGTCTAAAACCCTGGGGGAAGGGGGGTTGTTTAATTACCAGTCACTGGAGACAAACTTTTCCAATCTGGTGCTGATACATAGAACTTAAGTTCCTAGTCAGTGTCTCCAGAAACTATGCTGATTAGGGGTTCTGGAAATTTTTAATCACATGTATGAGATGGGGGGGATGACTGATAGGGTTAATTGGTCCATAATTGGAACGTAATTGGACTTGATAGAAACTAGCTGTGTCTCTTCTGAGGTGAAATTCTTTGGCTATGTGCTCCCAGGAAACTTTTGTTACAGCCTTCAGAGCCCTTCCAGTAGTTATCACTAATTTGCCATTTTTAATGTGGAAAAAGGAAGAAATAAATATAATCCTTTATTTAAAGGATATGGAATCAGATTTAGTTTTTCTCCAGCCTCACTCATTCCTTTATCCTGTCCTACCTAGTTTTAGGAATTCAAATCCTAGCTCTTACTCATAGGCTAGAAAAGGTTCTAAACATAAAAAACAAAACAAAATAACCGTGCATATTTCCTTCAGATATTGTCTGCAATGCTACTTGTTCAAGTTTTATCATTAAAATGAGTACAGAATTTTTTTTAAAGCCCACTTTTATGTACAGGTAGTTCTCAACAGGTGACCATTTGATAATGATTGTTCGAAGTTATAACTGTGCTGACAAAAGTGACCCACGATTAGTCCTCACACTTATAACACCTGCAGCGTCCCCATGGTCACATGATCAAAATTTGGGCACTTGGCAGCTGGCATGTATTTATAATGGTTGCAGTATCCCAGCATAATGTGATCATCATTTTCCACTTTCCCAGCTGGCTTACAACAAGCAAAGTTAATTGGGTGGGGGGGGAGACAGATTCACTTAACAACAGTGATTCACTTACCATGCTGATCCGCTTAACAACTGCAGTAAAATTGGGCATGACTCACTTAACAACTGCTTTGCTTAGTATGGACGTTCTAGTCCTAATTGTGGTTGTAAATTGAGGATTTGTCTCTCACTAATTATTTTGGAAATAAATCTTATTAAAAGGTTTTAAGGGAACATTAAAACTAACACAAACTAATACAACACGGGAGAACCAAAGAAAAGAGTGCAGTGAGAAAATATGAAAAGAAATAGAAGTTTTCATTTTTTTCTGCAGCAAATATAAATATCTGACTGATTTTTTAAAATCCCATTTTCATTATGGTGAAGGTATAGGATTCACTGCTACAAAAGACCAAAACTTTCTCAATTTGAGGGAAAAACACTTACTCCTTAAAAAATGATTACCTTGCATTAAGCGACTGCATTGTTGGAATACGTTAAACAATTTTTCATTTTTGTACACAAGAAATAAGTCAACATTAATGTCTCTTGTCTTTTTCTAGCCTGCTTGGATCCATGTTTCCAATGCCTCGGGTTATTTATGCGATGGCAGAAGATGGATTACTATTCAAATTTTTGTCACGTATCAATGAGAGGACAAAAACACCAATGTTAGCTACAATAACTTCAGGAGCTGTTGCAGGTATGAAAGATTTAATAATAATAATAATAATAATAATAATAATAATAATAATAATAATAATAATAATAATAATAATAATAATAATAATAATAATAATAATAATAATAATAATAATAATAATAATAATAATAATAATAATAATAATTTTATTTCTATACCGCCCTTCTCCCAAAGGACTCAGGGCGGTGTACAGCCTATTTAAAAACACAAGACAAACATCAATTTAAAATTTAAAATTATTAAATAAATTTGGCTCCATTTAAAACCCCAGAAATTTAAAATACCCCAATTTAAAATTATCATGTCGATAGCCCGGCCTGGCGGAACAACTGGGTCTTCAGTGCACAGCGAAATACCCGGAGGTCGGGGATCTTACGTATTTCCGGGGGCAGTTCATTCCACAGGGCTGGGGCTCCCACAGAGAAGGCCCTCCCCCTGGGTGTCGCCAGCCGACATAACTTGGCCGATGGCACCCTGAGGAGACCCTCTCTGTGGGAGCGAACTGGCCGGTGGGAGGCTATTGGTGGCAGAAGTCGGTCTCGAAGGTACCCGGGTCCTATGCCATGGAGCGCTTTAAAGGTGGTAACCAGCACCTTGAATCGCACCCGGAAGACCACTGGGAGCCAGTGCAGCTCGCGCGGGAGGGGTGTGCTTAAGAATGGGTGTGCTTATTGTAAACACATGCATTTCATAACTCTGTAAGGAAAACACCTTGCATCTATAAAGCAGATCAAAACTAATGTCATACTTAGAAAATATTTAAGATGCAAATATTTTTAAGGTTGCAAGACTTGCTCATTCAGAAATAATATTACTACTCTTACTCACGGTGTTGTATAAGTCATGCACAACTTGACATACAGTGTGCCTTTTTTTTGAACTCTGGTTTTCTTGCTTCTTTCTCACGAATTTTCATCATCTCCTGGGAAACAGAAGAGCTTGTTGGCTCAGAAGTATGGATAAGGATTAAATTGTCACGATTCATCAGGCTTGTAAATAAAATAAAAAATATCCTGCCACTTAATTTGTGTCTTCTCTCTCTCTGCCTCTCCCTCTCCCTCCCCTCACTTCTCTCTACCATTAGCTGTCATGGCCTTTCTCTTAGACCTCAAGGATCTTGTAGACCTGATGTCTATTGGGACACTTCTAGCTTACTCCTTGGTGGCTGCCTGTGTCTTGGTACTAAGGTAAGAAATGATAGCATTGCTGACAAAGTAGCCTCAAACATAGCCCAAATTTGCTTTCTCGAAATGTATTTGATTTTAGATTTCATTACCTACTAAGTCCAAAATGTGAACTGAACTCTTGCTCAACAGCAGCAGATCCTAGGAGACATTGGGAAGAATCTGATATGCTAGTCAGGGCAAATGATTCTCTACTATGAAAACTGGTTTCAGGAGCATCATTCGTCTGCACTCCCAAGATCCCTTCTGCTTCATTATTGGTGCAGATAGCTTTGTGTCCCATCTGCTCTGCTGCCCTTGGGACAGGTCATCTTACCCTTTCCATGTAAATGCAAAACAGATGTTTGGACTTTTATCTTTGTTTATTTTTGCAAACTGCTTCACATAAGATTTTCCTTGCAATACCGTTTTTCCACTTCAGCTTTCATTTTTAAGAGTTAGGACTTTTTGCAGCTTCATTTACTAAGTTAGAGAAGCAGCTGAGTAGTATGAGAAAGGACCTCATGTTTATATGAAGATGAAAAGCCCAATAGAAAGCTTGCTCTACCACTACATAAAAACAATTGCAGAATTAAGCAGATGAACAGTAATTGATCCTGTTCACTTGCTGTTCACCTGTTTTTAAAATAGCAGTTGATCCAGGAGATGTGGTGGTGCAGCGGTTTAAGGACACTGGATCTGCCAACGAAAAATGGTCAGCACTCTGCAGATTCGACCCCGGAATCACTGCGGGACAGGATGAAATTCCATCACTCACCTCTAACTCCTGCCCTGCCCAATTAGCAATTCGAAAGCATTATTACAAGTAGATAAATGGGTACCATTCTGGTGGGAAAGGCTAGCTGCACAAGGAGAAAGGGAATCGGTGCTCGACCTGCCCAGACACCAGGCAAGATTGATTGAGGAGCCCAAAATTTGTCATCAACTCAAATGCTATTAGCCAAATATAGTACAAACTAGTTTGCCCCCTGTGATCCACCATGAATAAGTGTGCAGGCGCAAAACTGAACAAACTAGCAATTAGGCTGTCAGAACTAGTCTGTAAAGTGTAGATCTCCCTGATATGGATATCAGATGAAATAAATAAATAAGCAGTTGATCCCCAATTTTTTAAAACATGGAAATTATTTGAGCCCCTATTTTTTCTCTGCAATTTTCGCTGTTCCCTTGATAGTTGAACTTTAAGTGCAAACTGCAGACTGCAATAAAATGTAACACATTTTTTTTCAAGAGCCTTTTCTCCTTGAGGATAAATATAATAGTATATAATACCTGCATTACACCTTGATCAAGATATCAGAATCAGATTCACTAAAGAAGACAGTATTAGCCTTATTCCTGGAAATACAGTTTTGAGACTTGCATAGCTTTCTGGATAACATTAGTGAAAAGTCTATCTAACTATGGTATTTAAAGAATACTCTTTAATATTAAATGGAACTTATGGTAGAGCATTTACCAGAGCGATAAAGCTCTAAGAAGAACATAACACATTTAATCTTAACAGTTTTATCTATATGTAGCCTTGGCAGCTCTGTAATTTGCATCTCATTTTATGGATTTCATAGGAATACATGAAATAAAACCTAATACTTGTAGTTTTAGTTGACAATGATAAAGTTTCTCCCTATTTTATTCCACTTTTTTACTCTCTTAATATTTATTTATTTATTTATTTATTTATTTATTTATTAATTAATTAATTAATTAATTAATTAATTATTTAATTTATATACCACCCTTCTCCCAAAGGGACTCAGGGTGGTGTACAGCCAGCATAAAACACACAAATATAAAATTTAAAAACAATTTAAAAAATATTAAATAGTTTGGCCCATATCTAATTAAAATAAAACTACCTGATTTAGACATTTTAAAATTAAGAATTGACAATTAAAAAATTTTAAAAATTAGGCCAGCCCGGCTTGTTGAAATACAAGCGTCTTGAGGGCCCGGCGGAAGGTGCGTAAGTCGGGGTGCTCTTCTAATACTTAAATAAAACCTTACAATGGCATTTTTATAATTTCCAGTACTATGCTGCTATGTGTATGTTATGTTTGTTTGTTTTCCCTATAGATACCAACCTGAGCAACCTAACTTGGCATATCAGATGGCTAGTACTACAGAGGAGATATATGCAAATGAGTCTGTGAGCACAAGTGAATCTCAAACTGCGTTTCTGCCGGAAGAGGAAGAGAAATTATCCTTAAAAGTTATCCTCCTCCCCCAAAATACAATTCCTTCCAAACTTTCTGGGTTTATAGTGAATGTCTCTACCTGTGTCATAGGTAAGAGGGATTCCAAAAACTAGTATTATTCTCAATCATTGTGGCTCTGACTGTTGAGTTTCCTCTCTGAAAAGTTGGTTAGTGAGTTTGCTGATGAACTGAGAATGTCCTCCTTGCAGTTTGTGTTTTCATTTAGCCGAATTTAGAATAAATTGTGGAAGTTAAGGGATAATGGTGAGAAAACCCCTGAAAAAAAACAGGCAAAGAATTGGCAAGTAAAAGTCAAAGGAAGCCCATCAAAGAAACATAGAATACACAACAATCCTAATTCAGGTAGTTCCCACTTAACCCTAATTAGGACTGGAATTTCCGTTGCTAAGCAAAATGATTGTTAGATGAAACATATGACTTGTACCATTTAGTAATTGCAATTCCAGTAGTAGTCCCGTTGTGGTTGTTAAGCCAAGGCCACATTATCCCTGAGTAAGGGTCTCATGCTTCTCTTGCCCTACTGTACCTGCCTCCAACTCCCCCCACCTGCCTTATCAGCAGTGGGAGAAAGAAGGCAAAGGTCGGGGAGGAGGTGGCAGGGATAGGCAGCAGAACGTTGGTCAGCCAAAGGGGCAGAGATTGGGAGGGTGGGGGGAGATAGGTGGATGAGAGGAGTTGAAGCCCAGCCTCTGGTTGTAAATGAGAGGGGGCTGCTAAGTATCCAGATTTTGATCACGTGACTGTGTGTGTGGGGGTGTTGCAATAGCTGTAATTTTGAGAAGCAGCCATAACTACCATTTGTTCAGTAACCCTTTGAAGTTAGGAGGGCACTGAACAAATGGTTATCAAGTAAGAATTACCTGTAGATGAGCTTTTTGCCGCAGGGGCTTTTTATACTGCCAGGGCTCCCCAACCTTTGGGCCACGGCTCATTACCGGGCCGTGGCTGGTTCAGAACTGAAGTAGTGGGCTGCTGGCTGGTGCAAGTACATGTGTCCGCACATAGATTGACTCTCACAAGCTGTGGGGCAACACGCATGCAGCCCAACTCACATGAGTGGCAGGCTGGAGCACGCACACATACACATACACTGGCCCACCACTTACACAGGCCAGTTCCCTCCCTCCTGCCCCCGGGCTGCCAAGCCATAAAATTTGGGGACCACTCCTCTATAGGATTCATTGAGCAAAACAGTGGCTCAGAAAAATGGATGTTGGAAGCTATGGATCCTGGGCTGTCAATCTGCACATGTCACAGATCATATTATTCTTCACTTAGCTAACAACAGCTGTTTTTTTTTTTTATTCCTCCTCCCCCCCCCCCCCCCACCCCCGCCGCCCCCCCCCTCTACCCCCCCCCTCCCCCCCTCTCCCCTCACTTG